AAGACTCACTAAATTCCACATATGCAATTCTCTTCCAGGTCTCTTTAATCTTTCATGAACTTCCTTGTAACCAGAAGGAGAGGGAATAAGAACGATGGACTTTGAACTTGGATATATTTTTTTCATAGACTCAAAGACTAGTTCAGGCTGGAAGGGACCTCCAGAGGCTTCTAGTCTAATGTTCTGCCCAAAGCAGGGTCAGTCTTAAGATCAGACCAGGTTGCTTGGCGTTTATCCAATGATGTCTTGAAAACCTCCAAGGATCAAGAGTGCATGACCTCTCCACTTCTTAATTTATAAGTCTGCTTCTACCCTACTTAGTAACACCAAAAAGAAACATTGATGGAAGTGGTAATTAAAAATGCAGATAGTTGAACCCAAGTCCTTTATAATCATAGAGAGCCTCTCCAGTATGTTCAGGGGACTCTGACTGGCATATGCAGTGAACATGAATCAAGTCACGCTCATGATTTTCCTCCATGCAGAGGGAAAATCTTCAAGCATTGGGTGCCTGATCATCCTAGATATTATAGAAGATACCAATAGATTATTAATAATTCTTTCCTACTTGGAAATTATATGCAGCACCTTCATACTGTACTTTCATCCTACAGGCAGCTTTAGTTTGACATTTGTAGCTAAGGCAAATGAGGAAAGCTAGAAATGGTTTCACAGGCAATATCAAAAAGTGGCAATTAAACTGTGATATTTCTAATCCTTTTCTTATTTGTCCACACCCCTGGGTTTCTTGGGCCAGCTGTTGTATTACTTCTGCCTGCTCCTGTCACTGAGCAAAGACTTTGAGGGTTTCTCTACTCTCACTTCTATGTTTCCTTGATTTTTCTGCATATAAAAAGAGTTGGAGTAGCACTGGTACAGACTGAGAAAGTTGTGTGTATGAAATTATTGTCAAGGACACTGCTACAGCTCTGCTGGTCATTGCTTGGTGAATGGTTAGAGGGAAGCCCAGGGCTCTTCTGAATACAGACTGTGAGTGCGCTTGCTTCTTGAAGAAGTCCTTCAATTTCTCCTATAATCTGGTTCAAGATATTTGGATTATGAAATGAGAATTTCCAGTTCATTTTCTTAGCTAGGGAAATGCATAACAGGAAAACCCTGAGGTCAGGGTGCTGAATTTCACTCCCTGCTGTTTGAACATGCTTGCTAAGGGGAAAAACGTTTTCTGAAAAATTGACGTGTAGTCAAAACAGAATTTCACTTACTTAACATGTTTGAATCTGCTTAACTAAAGAGTTTTCATTTTTTAAATCCACCTTCCTACAGAAATAGTGCTTTCAATACTTAAATGAATTTAACTAGAGTATTTATTGAAAGGAACTAGCTGTCTTTTGTATAACACGTGCTGGAAGCCCTCTGTTCTGAATATATCCATTAACTTTAATTGAAAAACTCCTAGACCTGCCAAGTCTTCTCCTTGACTGTGTTGAACCCTTCCTGCCCTGTACCTAGCAGGCGGCAGTCGGTGCAAGGGCAGAGCAGTGGCTTCACCTCTCTGAAGTCTTTGGAGCTTTCAACAAGCTGCCTCTGGAGAGGAGAGGAGAGCTTTTAGTGCCACACTAAACTGTGAACATAACAGAGTGCAGATGGAAGGCACGGTCTTCATGGTGACCCTACGCTTTGCTTTCTCACCTGCCATGTGAATCTACGCATCACATGCGACTCCAGGCATGTGATCCAAAACCAGCAGCATCTTAAGAAACTTGTTTACTTTCTGGCTTAAGTTAGCCCATGACTTCTACTTGCTGTAAAAGCATTTTAAAAGAGCCTATGGTGAGATCTGAAGCATGGCTATGAGTCTATGAGGTTGCCTCAGTGACTGAGGGGTTTGGCTGCTCCGTGCAAGTTGATACAGCCTGTTGTACCTGTCCCCAGCTACAGTCTTGTGGCTGAGCAAAATGAGGAAAGTTGGCACAGCCCATGCTGGGGAAGATCCCTTAGGTAGGAAAGGCTCTATGGTCTGTGTGCATCTGTATCAAGTATCAGCCACTGCCTGAATTAATCACGGAAAGATAAGCATGGATTTTATTTTACCACTCAACTATCTGAACATTACAGATGCAACTACATGAAGAATATATTTGATGATACATACAGTTGTCAAGTGGATTTGTCAATGTCTTTTCTGTGGCAATAAAAATGTATAGTCAATTTAATGGTGCAATACCATAGCCAATATTCAAATTGTCTAAACTCATCTTAAAAAAAAAAAAGATAGAAAAGGCGCAGCCTTGTAATGAGCAATCCCTAGGTGCTGCAGTAGCTCATAAAGCTGAATTTCTCCTTTTGATGAGATTTATTCTCAGTGAAGTACTAATGGTTGTACCTATCTGATTCTTAATTTTTATGTTCTTAAACCGGGGAAAACAGTTTGGAGTGATGTTGACTGTATTATAGAATTTTGGAAGCCACAGAAAGGCCCTAATGTACTTGGGTGTGACCTCCAATCTTTTCACCCATTTGAGAACCATAGAGTCATAGAAATATATCCTATCCTATAGGATTTCCTACAGTGATTCAACCAAAAAGAAATTTTATAATATAAACAAAGATATTTAATCCTACAGTTCGCCTATAACTCACAACTTCACCCATATGAAACCAGAGGAAGGAGAGGTTTTGATATGGTACATGATATGACAAGTGACCACAGGGGAGAGGAAAGAGACAAGTCAGAGTTCAGAGGTTTGTGGCTCTGAATCTCTGGGAGAGATTTCCCATTATATTACACATATAACTAGAACTGCTGCTGTATCAGGCAGTTATAGGTAGCCAGCAAGTTGTGCAGAAGAAACACAGTATTTCACACTGAAATATTGGTATAATTTTAAATTTCCACCCCAGATGGTAATTCATAGTGCGATCCTTTTCCTTACACAGACACACACACATCCTACGTTATTTCCAAATGTGCAAGGAATGATTCAAAGTAATTTCTTATTTATCCTACATTTCCCCAGCTGCTGCTATTCAAATTGTAAACATAATCTTAGTGTACTTCACAATTTCTTATGATTCTCAGGACAGGCTGGAAAACATGGAATTCAGAATACTAAACTGAGCTTCCTTCTTTTGTCAATAAAGATGTGGATTTTGGGTGATGATTGAGCTCATATTATGCAAGCAGTATACATATTTTAGTTGCTATTGCTGTCTGATTCCTCTGTGATGTTTACTTTATGAGTCGTTCTCTAATTTTTTTTTTTTTTTAAAGTGTTCTGGTGTAACACATTTTCCTTTTGTAACATTTCACTTTTTTCTCTATTCAATTTATGGGCATATTGGAAAAAAACTTTTTAGTGATATCTGAGTATGTATTAGTCTATATTTCAGTCAGGGTAGGATTTCCTAGGAAATATTTGAATTTGAACAATCAAGCCATCCCTTGGCTAAAAGAAACTACACAGGTGAAAGTGTTTGGAGTTAATTTGCAGACTTATTTAACAGCTTATTTTGACAGTTTACAATGCCTTGTCTTTTGAGATAAGCAGAAAATTCAGCCCAAGGGGCAAGTGTTTGGCTCAAGGCAGACTGATTCATCTCCCACTCTGGCAATGTCACACAAAGAACATGGCTTTGAAGTTGCATGAAGCACAAGCTGCCAGTTGGTCTGGTTTTGCTGGGATAGAGTTAATTTTCTTCTTAGTAGTTAGGATAGCTGTGTTTTATCGTCAGTGTAGGATTTGTTATGAGAAGAATGTTGACAAAGTACTAATGTTAGTTGCTGCTGGAACTCAAGGCCATCGTGTTTGGGTACTTTGCAAGTGCAAAGGACTGGGAGGGAGGAGCACAGTAAATAGCAAAACCCCAAACTGGCTTTTGGACGTGCCAATGAAATATCCCATATCATATCACGTCATGTCAGTACATTAACCAGGGCTGACCGGAAGACGGGGGTATTCTCTTGGGGATCACTCAGGCTCGCTCTTCCAGGGTTTAGGTTTTAGGACTGTTTCTGCTCTGAGATCATTGGCTGGCACAGGCTGGGCATCGATTGGCAGGTGGTGGGCAATTGCACTGTGCATCACTCATTCGTATATTCTGTTGTTACTGTTGTTATCATTATAACTTTATTTGAACTAGTAAATAGTTTTTATCTCAACCTGTGAGTCTCTTTGCCCTTTTCCTTCCAATTCTCTCCCCTACTCCCTGGGCAGGGTAGAGTGAGAGACCAGACTGTGTTTGGCTGCAAGCCGAAAGGGTGAAACCACCAAACCAGTGAAAGGCAGTACCACACCACCCTGCCATGTTACACTCACCAAACCACAGGGTGAGCCAAACCAGGGACTGATCCAGGTTGGCAAAGGGAAGAGATGAGTTTCCCCAGCACAAGTCAACACCAGGAGCAATGATGCTGGATCAAGAAAGAGGGTGAGAATACCCAACAATGGTGGGGAAAAGGTGTTTCTATCCCTCCCGAGAGCAGGAGAAGTGTAGGTCAAAGGAAAATGATCCTGAAAGTGCAGCTCTTGGGCAATGTTGTTCCCTTGTGTTGAGAACAGCAGAGTTGAGCTGATACCTCAACACATCATAATCTCCACCCTCCCTTATCGCTGCTCCTTTCCCCAGCATAGTACCTGTCATTACAGCCAGCCAAGCAGGGATTCAGAGGCTAAAAGGAGAGCTGACAGACTTACCCAATTAGCATAAGATAGCCAGCAGGACTCTATGATATTTGAATGATCATGCAAGTGAGCACGGCAGATTAGCGGGGTCTGGCAGAAAGGGTAGATCACCAAGGTTTCCAATAAAATTATTTCTTGGGACCATCAGATGCAGAGCCCCTGAGGCAGTCAAGCACCTCCTAGATGCAAATCTTCCATCTTGTTGTTCCCGCTGCTATAAAGAATAAAGAACACAATGTTGAAAACCAAATCCATGTCAGTGCTAACCATATGAAAGCAAAACCACATTAAATGGAAACCTAGAGAGCCTCTTTAGTATGTTATGCCTTAGTATGCTTTCCTTTCCTTATTTTACAGGGACATCAAACCTGACAACATACTACTGGATGAGCATGGTAAGTGAATATGGACTGCTTTTTCTCAGATGACTAATTCTTGAGATCTCAGTGACAAGCTCATTACAAGCTTTGTAAATGAGCCTCAGATGTTGGATTCCTGCCTAAATCTGGACTTTCTCTGCAAAGTCCCTCTGTCCACCTTCTGTATTTTGTAATTTCCACTCCTATTGAAAAAAAAAAAAAAAAGCAAAAAAAAAAAGCTTATCTGACACTTGCAAGACTTGAAGAAGGAATTTAATATGAATTGAGACCACCAGGGACACCTGATAAGAAGAAGTTAATATTTTATTAACAGGATTACTGTGAATCACCATAATCCACTTTTAGAGGCCTCCCAGTAGAACTGTACCAAGCACTTATTTTCTCTTTTAGAACTTCTGAAGGGTTAAGAAATTTCATATAGCAAATTATTTCTCATGTAGGTATCTGAAATTACTTTCCTAAATTTAGACACAGAGCTTGTAAATTTGCCTCTGAGTCTGCAAAATTTTCATGGCTCTACATGTAGGTCTCCCTTAAATTACATAAAAAAGACTAGGCAACATAATCAGCTTTGAACTTTCATGAAAGTACTAATTTGATGATCTCAAACAAAAAAGGTGTGGTATATATATAAAAAAACAGTTAATTTCTTTAAACTTATATTTTATACATATATACTGTCTATGAAATATTTTGCTCAAACCTTATGCATATTTTTGCAACTGTTCATAGGAATAACATGAGAAAATACAGGTAAAGGTGGCACTAACCTTGTATCAGTTTGAACAGAAATAAGTACAGGAGGAAGACTAAAAGGAAAAAGGAGATGTAGGCTTGACACTGTGGGAAAATCTTGTACTTTGTTCAACTCAGAAATTGATTAAAAGCAGTTAATCTTTGAGAAAATATAAACTTGAAGCCATGCCAATGTTACCATCATCTTTCAAAATCCATTATAGAGCTGCTGGGTATGCAAGTTAAAGTTGATTAAAGAGGTAACATTGCAAACATTTGGAGTTTGCCCCTGGGAACATGGAAGCCAACAAAGCTAAATAATGCTGGAGTTTTAAACCATCTAGAACTTCAGAAATTTAATGTTTCAGACCCATAAGTGTTAATGTTCCCTGGTCACTAATATCAGCAAATAGGCATGAAATAGAAATCTCTTGTCTTTAAGTCCTGGGTGAATTAAAGATGTCAAAGGCAACGTGAAATTACTATGAGTGTGTTAAGTCTCTGATTGACAGTGTTTGAAGTATGATTGCCCTTTTCTCTCCTTGAACCTCATCAAGGTCAATTACTGCACAAAATCAGCCTCTCGTGAGAGCTTTCCTATGCAGGCTCAAGTATTGCAGAGAAGAAACTACACCAGAATGAGTGATACGCTGAATAATAAAGGGGCTTTGGTGATTATAAGCTGTTCAGCAACAAAATAACCTGTAGCCAGCTTGGAAACTAGCCCCTTTTCTGCAAAGCAGCAGATACTACTCCCTCATAGCATACCCGCAGACAAGTGGTGAGGCAACCATGCTTCTCCAGACTTGAAAATAGACCTCGGTCAGCAGAATTAATCGGCTCGTGGATCCTTGATTCACAGACCTGTTATGTGATTGGGAGATGCAGTTCTCTCAACCTGGATAAGGGTCCACACACTTTAACTCACTAAATGAGGTGACATCAGTAGGACGGGTGTCTGTACTGTGCTCAGCACCACAGACTTCTTTTACAGATAACTGAAAGACATAGACATGCTTTAGATCATCTGATCTAGTTTGGATGTCTGCATTATACACGGGTATCTATTTCTCTTTGGTGACTAATACCTAAAAGTTTTGAGTAGAGATGTAGATCTCCACCTTAGAGATATGGGTTTTGAGAGATGAATGCTATCCTTGAAGTCCATAAAAGCTTTGATGAATTTGGAACATAGTAACATTTCACTTAATGGAAAAATGTGCTGAATATATGCACCATAAATATGCTGGGCTGTAAAGGAAGCATAACAAATTCACCTACCATGAATCTAACCAGGTGCACAGGAAGGAACTTTATTTTAGCCTATGGCCTCTAAGATGGCACAACAGTTTCCTGTATGCTTGACTTTATCCCTGGGTCTTTCTTACAGTTCATTAAACAAACTGTGCTTACACAAAGTGAATTAAATTTCTTTGACCTCACTGAAGAAACCTATTTTGGCTGAAGTTAAAGTGTAGTGTTAGACCATCCACATTGCCTTACATCTTCAAGCAGCTAAAATGACTGACTTTCATAACATATACCAAGATAATAGGTCATAGATATTTCTGCTCATTAAAACTAGTTTCACTACAATTTATCTGTATGGTTTAGGAAACATATCTCAGGAATACAGAACTACTGACAACAGGAGATTTTTCTTAACTCATAAAAATGTTCAATTTAACTTACAAAGAAAAAACCCATGAAAATGTATATAACATATTCAAAACCATTCAGGCAGACAAAGTCTGAATTTTCACCTATACTTTTCGGCAAAGCCACATCTCAACACTGCTGAGCACAGCTTCAGTGGAAATACATGTTTGATGATCACAAGAAGCATAATGCTACATAACAATAAGGTAGTCACCTAAAATAGTGTTCAGCCCCTACCAGAAGATGATTGCCTGGTCTCCCAGAGAGATTCTCCATCCCATAGAGGAGTTTCCTCTGAGGAGAGAAATTAGGGATCGTTTCAGAGTTCACCCTCTGAATCAGAAGCAACCTCTCTAAAGAAATGAATGCTGTCCATAAAGCTCTTTTGCTACATTTCCTCCTCAGCTTTCCCAGAAAGCTCTTCCTCTTATGACTAACGCTACTCTCTAAATTTAGTACTAGTGGTCTGTTCTGCTAACATGCATCTGAAACAGAATTATTCCAGTGATAACTGAAGGGACTACCTGATGGTTCAGGAGAGCTATTATTATTGTACTGTACAGAGAAAAGCATTATAGAATTCTCTTAATAACAGTATTCTGCTTCCTCTACTATCCCTTTCATTTTAAAGGTTTAAAACACAATAACAGAGATGACAGCGTTTAGAACTGAAAGCTGGAAAGTCTGGTCCATGTTGTATTTTTTTCTGAAATATAAAAAAAATTAAAGATGTCTTTAAATCTTTCCATGATCTATTAGCTATGATGTCTAAGGAAATGTGAAATGCATAAAATGCAGAAAAACAAGCAGTGGCAAAGAGATTAGTGCATTGCCCTTTTTTTTTTTCAGAGATGATAACATTATTGCTATAGCTATTTGGTAGCACCATTGATATTAACATTCCTAGTCATTCTGCAGAAATTATGAGGCTCTACTTTGACATCTGGGTTTTGCATTGTGCAGAGTGACCACACCATAATTACACTGTTCACAGAAAATTTGCAAGTGTTTGACAAAGTTTTCAGAATATCATTTCATAAGATCCAGCAAGATCCCTACTTGGTTTACTGAGGAAGAACTCCCTGCTGGGTTAAACCAAAGACCTCGACCAGTATTCTCTCACAACCAGTGGTAAGAGGAGATGGAGCATGCCCTTTGCCACTTGGTTATCAAATGCTTCAGTGCTTCCTATCACCCACAATTTTTGTATCAGGGCATTAGAATAGCTCTGTATATTCCCTTTAGAATTTGGATGAATCTTTGTTAATGAGTTTGTCTACTACTTCTTTGAAGCTGCTGCTCACATTGGCCTCTACAACCTCCTGGATCAACAAGTTGTAGAAGTTCACTTTCCTTCATGAAATAGAATTGTTTTCATTATGTGTTTTGAAACATTCTTTTTTCAAAAGAACATATTTTACTTCTAGAATTGCAGGATTTAGTGAATAATAGCTTACAATCACAGTCTTCATTATATTAAAAAACCCGTTCAGCACTCTCCTGACTGCTGAAGAGCCTCAGTCTTTTTAATTTCTCCCTAGAAGGCACTGGTCCGGTCCTTTTGCCCCTCTCTTTTGGCATATGTAGTGTTACAGACATGCAGGCTTTCAGTTTCAGAGCAGAAAAGCAACCATATTGGATCAAATACCCACCTAGTTGAGTTTCTCATCTCCAAGAGTCTCCAGAAAATGAATGATAGAGCAGGATATAAAATGAGACAAGTTTTTGTGGTGCTTCCCCCATGAATGCACCCAACCTCTAGCCTTTTGTGACTGAGACATTTCCTGAGATGGATATGGTTTCCACACATTTAATACTTTCAGTGTCTTTTCTATGGTCTTTTCTGATGTTTCCTTGAGTAGAGGGAACCTTTAGCATCCTTAACATCTCATGGCAAAGCAGTCCTTAGCTTAAACACAAATTCTGCGAAGACTCACTACCTGTTTGTTCATTTTAAAGGTGCTACCTGCAAATTTCACTGAATGCCTCCTACTCCTAGTCTTGGAACTGTTTCCTGATGGTTCTACATAATGAAATCACAAACTTAATATTTCACTCTTAGACTTAACAAGAGTAATTATATTTTATTAGGTTTGGGTTGGGTTTTTTTTTAGGTGGAATTTTTGCATTTTTTAGTGATAATTTCACTCAGTAATCATTTCTCCTATGAAGTAGCAAGGCAGATTTAAGATGCCATTCATATGTGCCTTTCTATATATGATTATATTGTTTTATGATCATCCATTTTCCTTAAAACTCTGTTTCCTTGATTACATGAGAATCTCAACCTTCGTTTGAAAACTAACAGCAAAATTGAAAGATGCAGCCAATGAGTGATCTTGGTCTTAAAACCAAAAATAGAATTAAAAAACCCACCCAAAAATTGAACCCCAGTGTTAACTTCTGTACAACAGAACTGGCAACATTATTACTGTGTGGTGATGCCTGGGAGACATAAAGTCTCCACTAAAGATACACCTGATATGTCTGCATTAGGACTGGTCCTTATCATACCCACCGATGGTTTTCAGGGACTGTATCTCATTTAACCTTCTGACGCTGATTAACAACATGAATGTTCTCAGCATAATTCATTCACCTGAGCTATCTACACTTTGAAA